TCATTGTTGTAAGTGTTTACAGACCCCCATGTGCTACGTACGAATATTTTGAAAGGATTTTGGAAGAAGTTTTGCTCAAACTTAGTAAACAGAACAAGTCTGTTGTAATATGTGGAGACTTTAACATCAATGTCCTTGAAACTTCTATCATTAGTATTAAGTTTAGCTCATTATTTAAATCGTATAATCTTGTTAATTTATTCTTAGAACCGACACGTATTGCTGGGCCTAGTGCGACTTGTATAGATAACATTTTTACAGATGTTAAGCCCTTGCATAAATCAATCAGTCAAAATTTAAGTTCAGATCACTGTGGACAGTTGGTCTCATTGTCTTAGGGTGCGTACAGATTAAGTAACATGTTATGTAACTTGTATTTTATAACACGTCCACATTATGTTACATTGTTTTTCAATAAAATAACATATAACAATATTGTACACATTAGAATAACAATACAATATAACAATGTTATATGACTTTGTCGTTTGTCGTTCTGCAGTGTTATTCACAATGTAAAAGTTTGTAAAAATAAAAATATCATAAAAACAAGTAATTTTACTTCTGGAATACCCGCCTCTTTTGTAGAGCGAACCTTATTTCTATCCATTAAAATGTACACATGTACGCATTAGCTATATATACATTTCTGTCACGTTAAATAACATGTTTGATAACGTTCAGTCTCCATATTACGTTTTATAAAATGTTATGTTATATAATATGTACGCACTTTAACATACACAAAAATGAGAAAGTTGTGTTTGTTCTAATAAATGATCATCGTTTGGGGAGGTTTAGAAGTAACATAGTAAAAGGACTTCCATCACTGTCATTTAAAATAGTGCTGATTATTTGTACGGTTCATTATTTAATATTATAACTTGTGAATTTAATAAAATATTTACTTCTAAAACTTTCTCTATAAATAGTCGCAAATCATTTAATGAATGGGCGACAGTAGGAATCACTAAACGTAGACGAAAGTTATATGAGCTTTATAATGAAAGATCATTTAATCGTAGTGCTATATTGAGAGAGTATGTAAAAACATATTCAATTTTTTTTAAAAAAGTGTGCTCCACAGTTAAGGCATTATATTTAAGCAACAAAATATAAACTGCATCCGATAAAATTATAATGATGTGGAGTATAATTAAAATAGTTAAACGGTCAAGGTCAATTAAATATTAACAATAATTTAACTCAATCTGATCAAGAAGTTGCTATGGTTTTTGAGAAACATTTTACTGATGTTCCTTTTTTGACAACAAAATCATTACATTTATCTCCTACTGTCGCCGAATTATTGCTTAAACAAAACGTAAAGCCTTGCTTAAATACTTTTAAATTCCATAGAGTACCGCCAAAAGATATCGTTAAATATTTTAAAACTATTGATGTTAAGAAAACGGCAGACTTATGGGAGATTTCCGTTAAAGTTATTACGTCTATAATAGATGCTGTGGCACCTTATCTAGCCACAATTTTTAATAAATGTGTCGAATCTGGTGTGTTTCCTGATTTAATGAAACATAGTAAAGTCATACCTTTACTTAAATCTGATAGTACATTAGACCCCGCCAATTTTAAACCTATTTCTGTACTACCAATATTTAGTAAAATTGTTGAAAAATTATTTTAGTTCGGATGTTAAGTTTTTTTTTTTAATATAAATAAATTAATTCATAAAAATCAATTTGGTTTTACAGAGGGTCGCTCAACTGCCGATGCCGGAGTCGAACTTATAAAACATATTTTTTGTGCATGGGAGAATTCAGAGGATGCTTTGGGTGCATTTTGTGACCTTTCCAAGGCCTTCGACTGTGATCACCATGAGACATTAATCAGGAAGCTACAGTACTATGGTGTCAAGAACACAGCGCTTAAACTTATTATTTCATATTTAAGTAATAGAATGCAGAAAGTTATTATCAATGGTAAAAGTTCTTCCGGGTCGTCCGTAAAGATGGGTTCAAGGCTCGATTCTTGGCCAATTTCTATTTTTAGTATTTATTAATGACTTACCTTCCCTTGTAAGGAATAATCATGACATAGTATTATTTGCTGTATCATCAGCAAATATTTTTAAACTTAGACGTCTATCATTTAAATGTGACGATGTGAATTATGCTATATCAAAATTAGTGCATTGGTTTAACGTAAATAATATGCATTTAAATGGCAATAAAAGTAAATGTATTAAATTTACAACAACGAATGTTAAAAATCTGAATACCAATGTGTTTTTTAAATTGTGAAGAACTGAGCCCTGTTGAATCCTCTGTTTTTCTTGGCATCACTCTCGACGCGAAGCTTCAGTTCAAACTAGCAAGCAGTAAGCTAGTAAGTAGTAAGTAATAGCTAGTAGTAAGTAGCTAAGTAAATAAGTTTAACATTACAGGTATTATATTCATTGGTAGCGGACATCCATATTTGAAACAGTTTTCTGCAGCACTACGCCCGCGAACTATTTCAAATAAGAAATACCAAAGCCAGCATCATTTTCTGTACGGAAACTGGTAAAGCGTTGCCCAAGGTACTATGAATATAGCAGCTGATAAAAATGTTACACTCATAACTATTAACAAAAATTGTTACTGCAAATGGTCTTATAGAAAAAACTATTCCGCCGTGTAAGGTGCAGGAGCTTTCATAAGAAGAAGAAGAGATAATATTTTGTTTTATAGATGTGCAATCAATATTGTTTTGTCAGCAATTATGCTTAAGATTAAAAATTAACTTCAGCCAAAGAGCACAACTGGCATTATACTCAGGTCCAAAAAAAATAATTTTACTACGTCTCAAAAAATAAAAATACGTATATATAATTATTTATGGCCGCTTATTAGCTGACGATAACTCAGTACCTATATAACATCCTACAGTCACGGCGAAACTAAGAGAAGAGAATCACTGTAGAAAACGTTATAATTTATTGCGAAAATTTTGTGATAAGATTAAAAAAATTACAAACTTATCCAAGATACCCAATACTTTAAAAAATAACAAATAATAAACTAATGAGTTTGCGTCAATTTATAAAAAGGTAACAAGATATAACAAAAAGAGACAAAAATAAATGTCAAAAAAGTTCAAGATCTAATTGACGATATACAGCTGATGCTTAATTACGCTTTTGGAAACCACGCTAGATGTAAAGAATACTTCTGTGAAAAATGGTGTTTGCAAGAGAATTAAGAACAGTCAAAATCTTTCTTTTCAAATTTCCGCCGAGTTGTAAGTAGAAGGCCAAATAGGTCATGTGACAATTTAATTAAATATATTTTATAAGAAGTGATCTTGACTACGTTTCACCAATTAAGCATTGATAAAAATGATAACAGCAATTTTACAATTTTGTTTACAAGTAACACTATCAGTTGCACCTTTGCAGCTTGTTCATTATTTTATTATAAATACCTATAAATTTATATATAATTTATAAATTATTCCCATAATATTTTGTATTATTTTTTTTATTTTGCCTTATCTGAAACGTTCTAAGCTCTATAGAAAATATGGCGTATGAAATTACTGACAATCACTTGAAGATTTTATCTAGGTACAATGATGTTTTACGTTTTCGAGGTCTCCGCGTGATATTTTTCTCAGCATTAGGTACTCTTATGTATCTGTAACGAATATGAATATTGCATATGTATACGATAAAAAAGTAAAGCAACAGGCTATATAAGTCGCTCTGCTGGACCCAGAACCCTTCTTATTTCTGAGAGGGTTTTAAAGCAAGACAATGTCTGCTGAGCTACCGCAATGCGTGTTGGCGAACATCACATGTCTTCGAAATTTGTTTTCTTATTTCTCAGACATGCAGGTTTCCTCACGATGTTTTTCTTCACTGCCGAGCACGTGCTAAATCAGCACTTAAAATTGCAATTATAAATATCATTGGTGCTGCCGGGGATCAAACCTGGGCGAAATTTCCAGCAGGCGCTTAAACCCAGAGCTTCTAAACGTAAGAAATAAATACGATTGAATAAAACTAATTTTTACGGATTTTTTCGCGTTTAATTAACTTATTTTATATTCCCGACGTTTCGGTTGTTTTCGACGATCAATAAAAACCCGCCTAAAAGAACACATAGCTGACGTGAAGCACCAACGTTCCGGGAAGTCTGCAGTTTGTGATCATATCCTAGACGGCCCCAGCCATTACATTAGATTTGATAAACCACAAATTCTCGCGGAAGAACATCGATTCCTGCCAAGGATAATACGTGAGGCTATTGAAATTAAAAACATCCTAATTTTAATAGAGAGTGAGGCTGGGTACTACCACCTGCTTGGGATCCTATAATTCATAAAATTAAAACTAAAACAAGCATACCACTGCAAGACTTCAAGACACAGTAAGTTTATTCTGCGTAGATCGGACCAAAATTAATAATTAAAAGCTGAAGGTACTCCGAGTTAACTCTGACATCGGGACGTCAGTCACCTCAGTTCCCCGTGACCATGGTTGCTGGAAAGCAACCGAAACGTCGGGAATATAAAATAAGTTGATTAAACGCGATAAAATCCGTAAAAAATAGTTTTATCCAATGTGTAGTGTTCGCGTAAATATAAGAAATCATTAAATAAATACGATTCAACAAAATAATAAAAACTATTACGTACTTAAAACTTAAACACTCGATAGCTCGTGATGCCTACCGCACGAAACTACAGCACCACATCGTACAATGTAATTGAAGATGCTTAACCGCCACATAATTCTCAGTGATGCGCAAGCGTAATAGGCAGTATATTACTTACTCACCTGTGCAGTCTATTAATCTTTGCACTTTTCTAAGTACTACAGAAAGTAGTCGCTAGACGGTGTTGACGTCGGCTAAAATCTCTACGGTCGCCATTTCGTCAAGGTCATTCAGGCTCCTTAAAGCCATAATAATCTAACTCGTGGTTCTGGCAATCTCTACAATGAGAGAGGCCCATGTCTAACTGTGGACTTTTTGTGTGGGTAAATAAAAAAAAGAACAAACAAACAACACTGCTAATAAAAATCACAGTCGTTTATTAATAATTAATAAATACTGGTAATTAGGATAGACATATAGAGATTTACGAAAAATCTTTAGCGTAATACAAGGTACTTCATGAATCTAATTAAAATCTAGAATATAATGATAAATTGAGTAAATGTAATTTTTCCAAAATGGCTTCTGTCAAAACGGCACACTCATTATGTATCTAAAATTTCTAATCTTGTAATAATACGTTACATTCTGATAGATGCCATTCCGTCAAACGCATATTATATATTAAGTAAAAACTCCACATTACGAGTTTATAAATAGAAACAAAATTAATATCATTTCATTACGATTTAAGTAACTTAAGATTAAGTCATGGGCCCGATCATCTATAAAACCTTAACTAACCTATTGTGTACGTATAAACAAACTATTGCGACCTATAAAGCTATATATTTCGAAAACTAATTTAGTTCTACATTTTTAACTAACCGCCTCGGTACGTACGTAAACACACCAGTGACAATAGCAATACGCAAATAACAGATACTGAGCTAAATTTAGGGTCAACGTAAATTTGCCTGCACTGTACGCATTACCCCGTACGCATACGCGTCTTAATACAGTTAAGTCCGAACGTTCACAACGTCGCAACGTCTGAACGTTCACAGCAAGAAAAACAGCAAATTGGCGTGTACTCATGTAAAATACCTACGTCTACGCCATAGATTGCTAGAGGTATTATTGAGGCTAGGATATTTGTAACAGTTGCCACGCTTGGCAGGCGGGTTTACAACCGCAGTCTTTTATTTTTAGCTGTTATTAAGAAGACGACGCCCATCTCCTTTACCAGGGTGGTCTCTAGCTACTACGTAAGTCAGCTCTGGCCAGGACTTGTTCAATCTCCTTGCCATCGGAATTTCTGTAAGCAGAACAAGGATTCTAATAATCATCTGTGATAGATGATGCGGAACCAGGAAATAGGCGAAAAAGTTATCTACGTACGCATGTACGGTGCTGACAAATGTGCAATAACCTTTATTGACATTCCAGTTTCAGTCATCCTCAAATATGAATACGTCGTGCATTTTACAACTTGTTGAAAAATCGGAAATGTTCATATCACCGATATACGTAAGCTTCACGTTTTGTGCATAAATATCCTCTACTGCATCATCTTCAACTTGAACCTTAGAACTAAATAGGAAATTACTCTAATAAAAACGAAGAAAGCACTCAGCGCTCCTACATCGACCCAAAAATTCGCATGATCCATCGTCATCTCTTTGAGGAACATATCAGGATTTCTGAAATGGCAGTATGCTTCAGAGCAGTGAAGTTTCTCTCTTCCAAATCCATATACCGATAACATAGCCCCTTCGAAGCCGTATCTGACGTAACTGAGGTATGTCAACCATTGCAAATAGCTTGGTATCGCGTTGAAGTTCACGAAGAAACCGGAGAAAAGAACGACGGGGATGGTCGTTACAGGTCCGAGATAGACCCCGGTTTCGATTTTCATGGCAGCGCCTATGAGCAAGCCTAGCGATTGGGCGACCAGCGCTGTCAGAATGTTTATTGTAGTAAACATTAGTACTCTGTCCGTTTGCATCGGCTGCCCGGTCATAAAGTATACGATTATCACGTACACGCCACTGAACACGATCTGCAAAAAAAAATAGATTTTATTACTGGCCATAGAAATCTTCAAGCATATAATAATGTCCTCTAAACTGAATTTCGGTCACAGTAGGCAATCTAAAAGAAGACTAGCCAACAGCGCAGGACAGGATTATAGTGCACGAGTGTGTGCATAAACTCAGGTGCAATCTCTATTCCCTCACTCTCATAGTCCGATAGCAATCTTACACGACCGGAGAGAGATCAGGCTCTGAGCCAACAGCTTAACGTGCTTTCCGAGGCAGAGGATTCAAACACAGTGTAAGAATATCCACTACCCCATACCGTCCCGTGGGTGTCGTAAGAGGCGGCAGAAGCAACTGAACCAGGAAATATGCAGCAGCATCTTCCTGATAACAGCTGAATAAAAATAAAAAACTGCGGTTGCTAACCCGCTTGCCAAACGTGGCAACTATGGCAAATGTCCTTCCTATGAGGCTATAGGAGAAGCCTATATTCAACAACAATAACAGTCTCCATACCAAAGATATTCTGTAAGAGCGTGGTCCTACCCCGATTGGCTGACCCATTCGTGCTGCAGCTTTGCTAGCATATGGATCTACTACGTAAAGAAAGGAAAAAAAGTAATATATTTAGCAAACTACCACCTAGTATAATGTCTGATGGCACTAGACTAAAATAGCTCTAGCTCTTCATCAACAGTCAAATTGATGAGGAATGTCTTTGGAGGGATCCTTGTACCGTGTGCAAAAAAGGTTGATATTTAGAGATAGGTTTGCCAAAACCCTATACATACATGTACTTAAAAAAAAACACCAATAATATTATACAACAAAAACACATAACGTACCTGAAACGGTAAATCCGCCATAGTCTTCGCGAAGTAGAACGCTTTCAATGAGTACCAATAGTTCAAATGCTCTCGCACAAACACGCTCATCTCTGTTGGGACTGCAATAAAAAACATAAAATAGATTTAATATAGATTATTACTATACTATAATACCTTGCTGGGCATCGTTCAACAGATTGAGACACACCTGTCGTTACGTATACCTCAAAACTTAAAATCAAGTGTGTACAACCAGTGCGTGCAATATTGATCTGAGACTTACTCCTTTACTGCCCACCTTATGAAAAAATTCAAGCTCAGCGAGCTTTGCTTAGAGTATGTAGTAGATTTCTTAATTGGGTTGCCCACAGTAAAACCAGAGAAAGTGACATACCCCAAAGGATCAATATGCTGAAGTGGCAATATAGTTCTAAGATCCGTAAACGGATGGTGGAGAAAGGTACCCGAGTGGTAGCCTCGATAATTTTTTTTACTTATTATAAGCTAGTGCTTGACCACTATCCCAGCTGGTGGTAAGTGATGACAAAACGCTAGATAGCAAATCGTACACATCTTAACATATTATTTTTTTACAATTTTTATTCAATGAAACATCATGTACAATCATTAAAATTGTTCATAAAGTTAAATATAAATCTATAAGCAAAGAGCCGCAAAGATGTACAAAGTACAAAACGTTTGTCCAGCAGTGGAACGTAAGTAGTAACTATTTTTATCTCCGAACAAAAACAGATTTTTGTAGTGTGTATCTGTGTGTCTGTGTAATTGTGTGTCTGTCTGCTGCATCATACCTTCTGCACGGATGAACCGATTTTGATTAGATGTTTTTTTTATTTGAACGGTGTTTTAATCGAGAGTTCTAGATCATCAGCTCTTTTTGTTTCGGTTTTGTTTTTTAATTTAAATTTAAGTTTTTCTTCATTACAGCCCTCCATAAGTCTATTTCTGAACATAGGCCTCCCCGAAGGAACGCCACAAAGCACGGTCCCGAGTCACCTGCATTCATTAACTTCGCGCATTTCTTACCAGGTCGTCAGTCCATCTAGTGGGGGGATGCCCTAAACTTCGCCTGCCGGTATGAGGCTGCCACTCGAGAACGTTTTGTTGTCAGTTCTTCGAGCTATATGGCCGGCCCACTGCCACTTCAGCTTACTAATCCGTTGGGCTATGTCGGTTACTCTGGTTCTACTGCGGATATCCTCATTTCTAAGTTTAACCCGCAGAGAAACCCCGAGCATAGCCCTCTGCATAGCTCGCTGAGCGACCTTGAGCTTCCTCATACGGCCAGCAGTGAAGGGCCACGTCTCAGATCCGTAAGTCATCACTGGCAACACGCACTGGTTGTACAATTTCGTTTTAAGGTTTTGAGGTATGTCTGACGAGAAGATGTGTCGTAGATTCCCGAACGCTGCCCAGCCGACTTGAATCTGTCGATTGACCTCTTGATCGAAATTAAACTTAACTAGTCGGACTATTTATCCCAGGTAAACATACTCGTTTACAACTTTGAGCTTAGACAACAACTACCAGCATAGGTGCGACATGGACGTTACACATTTCTTTTGTTTTGTCCATTTTCATCTTAAGACCTTTCCGTTGGGAGACACTATTGACGTTTCGTACATAAATTTCACAAGGACAAACATCCAGACCCGGAAAAATTATTTGCAGACCATACAAATACTTGTTCCGTGCGGGAACCTGCAGCCCTTAGAGCGGCAACTCATTGCTAAGCCACTGCGCTACAGAGCCGTCAATTTAAGTCATTGATCATAGTGCGTAGATCCTCCAGCGGTTCTGAGGACTATATCGTTGGTAAACCAAAGGTGAGTGATGTATTCGTCATTGACGTTAATAACGTATCCTTTCCAGTCCAGTAGCTTGAAAACGTCTGCCAATGCAGCGGTGATAACGTCACCTTGTCTTACACCTCTTATTCTCTATTTTAAACTTTTTTTCTACATTTTAAATTTATTTATTATTAATTTTCATTAAAAAACTTCTGAAGCAATTTAAGTATTAGTTTTTCACCCGCTTTCAGAAGCTTCACTTTAATTCCATCCTCGCACGGGGACCTGCCGTTTTCAAGCTGCTGGAGAGCCATTCTAATCTCACCCAGACTGACGTCCGGAATATCATCGGAATAGTGTCGGATAAGACTTGCTCTTGGATCGTTACTCACATCTGCGTGTGGCTCCAACATTGATGTGTACAGCCAATATAACCTCTCAATCTCACTCAATATCCCAGGTGTCCTGGAAACAATGCTGTCACATTCGGTCTTCAACTTCAGCAGTTCGCTCTTTCTAGCAAACAGATCTATGGCAAAACTTTGCAGCCCTGGTTCCACTCGATCGCTACTTCAATACAAACTGTATTGAAGTTTCGTAAGTCCTGCCGCATGCATGTGGAGATATGTTTGATTAGTTGCCTGTATGCTATTAAATCTGTTGAAAACTGCAATTTCATCTCTAACCGCCATGAGATTAAGAGTGTGATTGGAGTTTTAATGTTCTTCTGCAACGGGTCTTACAGAACTTAGCTCCAACCGCTTGGACAGTTTCCACGAGCGTGTAATTCATATCGTCCACTTCCTTGCAGTCTTATATGCACTGAAAATAATTTTGTAATTCAAGCTGAAAATTTTCGGGGCTTTAGATTAGAGTACGAGGGGGACGGAGCGTTACGGACTTCATTATACGTGACCTCTCCAATTTAACGTTTAGGTTCAGTTTACCTCTCACCGTTCGGTGATCACTGCCAGTTTTCACGCACGCGATCACTGAGATATCACTGAACAGTTGTCGTCTGGTTGTCATAATGAAGTCAATCTCATTTTTGTTGAACCGTCGGGGCTCGACCAGGTCTAGGAAAAGAAAGAGTTCATCATAAAGAGTCCCTCTTTATCCATAAAGTCAGCAAGCTGCTGGCCCTTTGGGTTCCATTGCCTTATTCCGAACTTCCCTAGTTTAAGCTCACCGTTCTCTCTTGTGCCTAGTTTTGCGTTGAGGTCTCCCATTAATACCGTATAGTGGGTTTTGGAGTAATGCATGGCTCTAGAGATATCCTTATTTATTTCCTCCACCTTCACATCGGGGTGTGCTAAGATTGGTGCGTAAACCTGTATGACATTCAGCGTATTTCATTTGGTTATTCTGAGTATAAGGTATGCAATCCACGTCGACACAATCCCAATCTTTACAACGTTGTTAACGAGAGACTTGTCGCCTACCCGGTGATAGAACAAGTTGAAGGATTCCAGGATTACCGGGTCCTCCTCCTCTCTTCGGACCTCAGATAATCCTATAATATTCCAGCGCAACTTGTCTATCTCTTCTTCCAGCTCCAGGATCCTTTCGTCAGTCGTCAGGGTGCATGTGTTATAAGTTGTCGAGACGAGTCGCCGTCTTAGGTGAAAATCGAGGCTCCACCAGAGATTCTTAGCACCCCCTGCCCCGCCGTTACCGTGGTCGCCACCGTAGAATAGCGGGGCTGCCGGGGACTGGAGGCCGTTTATTTGAGTCGTAGCTAATGGGGGGTATATTTCTATAGCTGCCACGCTTGGCGAGCGGGTTGGCAACCTGTTTTTTTGTTTCTTTTTGCTGTTATCAGAAAGATGCTGCTGCCCATATTCTGCCTCAGTTTCCCTCTGTTGCCCCTTACGACACCCACAAGAAGATATGGGGTAGAGGGTATTCTTTCAATTTCATTTCAATACACGGAATTATTATGATAACAATATTCAACCCAGACTTACGACTGGCAGAAGCATTAAAGCCGAAAGTTAGTGTAATCGTCCATCTGCTAACCAAGCGTGATGATTAAAGCAAATACTCCCTTTAGCAACCTTTCCCTTTTTCACGGGCTGATGATAATATTGGTACATCTTAGTGTATGGCCGAATTATAAATCATCATCATCATCACGGTCATTACAGCCCTTCACAAGTCCACTGCTGAACATAGGCCTCCCCAAAGAATGCCACAAAGCACGGAACTAAGTCTCTTACATCCATCGAACTCTTGCATGTCATACCAGATCGTCACTCCATCCAGTAGGGGACGCCCTACACTTCGCCTGCCGGTACGAAGCTGCCACTCTAGACCCTTCCTTCCCTATCGGTTGTCCGTTCTTCAAGCTATATGGCCGGCTCACTACCACTTCAGCCTACTAATTCGTTGGGCCATGTCGGTTACTCTGGTTCTACTAGTCCTCATTTTTAATTCTATCAATTTTCAAATCTATCAGTGAATTATAAATGCGCTACGCTAAATGTGTCGTATGTTACGCAGATTTATTACGTGTAAGCAGATTGTACATTTGCTCTAACACATACAATTTTTAACAATAACCTCTTAGCATGTTTTTAACAATTGTAAATAATTTTAAGTGGCAGAGGCACGCTGTAGCTATGCCAACTTCGGGTATGCTCGACCAGGGTAGGACCACGCTCTCACAAAATACAAGCGTGAATTAGCAGCTTAATGCTATTACGATACGTATGGTGAGTGTAGAGAACTGGAGACTCTTTTTACTGGTAAAGAAGAATTCTACATTCCTTCTCAAGGGCGACAACAATGCATCTTCGTTTTGATTCTTAATCGAAGATAGATGTAGATATCTATGGGCTACAGCATCCACTTACCATCAGATGGGTGTGTGTCTTTTGTCACACTTATTCTATAAAAAGTAATAATAATAATAAACTTACATGTAAGGATAGTGGGCATCATAGCTGTAAACATAGTAAACATCACAGTAAAGAATATACAGCCAGCGTTGCTCATCACTTTAGCTGCGTCATGGCCTATATCGTAATACAGGAACCCGATTAACAGACCGACGACTGTATGCGAACATAGCCTTAAATGCGTCAACATTTGATCACGTAATATGCTCCTGAACGTCCGTTTCAATAGAATCCAGAATTGCTTCCAGCCGGACGTAGGGAAACCAGCGTTGATAGGTTTCTTCGTGAAACTTTCACTTGAGTCGAGGAGGGAAGTGGTGCAAGTCACCGGTGCGAGGTTCGTTGCGTTAGGTAAAGCGTTTTGTTTCTCCGTATTTATATTTGGTTCGGACATGTCTATCACAGTGCAGGTGGGTTTATCTGGAAATAGAGAAAGAGCTTTATTTAATTCAGCGTTTATTCAGTAATAATCTTTATATATAAAAATTACGTGTCACATTGTTTGTCAGCGATGGACTCCTAAAGTACTGAACTGATTTCAATGAAATTTTGCAGTTTGGTCCAACTTGAGACATTAGATAGTTTTTTTATCGCGATAAGTGACCCTTAAGATTTTTCATTAGGAATTTAAGGATTTTTTATTGGAGAAAGGGTCATCTCAGGAAAGGGCAGAACGACGTCTGCCTGGTCAGCTAGTTACTTCTATATTTTTTATTACTGGGTGGTACGAATTCTTTCTGCCTGGGAGTCCGTCTGTATAAATACCACTCTCAACTGTTTCTGCTGCCTAATATCAGCACCTGCACTGCTGTATTCCGTTCTGAAGGATATAGAGAGCCAGTAGAACTACAGGCTGTGAGGTATTCCATCTAAGTCTTCGGAGCCGGCAACGTAGCTGTAGCCTTCTTTGTTTGAAGTTGGCTGCAGGTACCCATGGGCTACAAAAGCCACTTACCATCAGTTAAAGTGTGTAACTGTTCATTTGTCGCTTTAGTTTTATAAAAAAGAAAACTTTTTCGATTATTATTCCTACTCATTTAACCATTAGACTTTTAAATAATTTTTTGTAGACCATAGAAGCAAAAAATGTGGGTTATAGATAGAATAAGTGCATGGCTGTGCATGACTATTAAGTTATAAGATAAATGTTTATATAGGTGCCTACTATATATGTATAAGCAAGCTATTAGTGACCGTGAAACATTTGAACGACTTGACCGATTGAGGACATAATAATATTCAAATATTATATTTGTTTTATCGAGACTATAGTTTATAGCTATGCTGGGGTCTGATACGTGGCGCTGTAGTTATATCATAATAAAATTTTGTGTTGCGTCGGTGTTGGTTTAGTGTATTTATACGTGTATTTATATGTATGTAAGTATGATAATATGCGCGTATTTATATTTATAATTATTAATACAAATAATATTCATTTTTATGGCACCTGCTTAAGTTTCTCTATTTATTTTCTGTTTGACTGGTAAAGAATATCTAAAAGCATAAGTCCGCAATTGTGCACTTTATGTGCCATAAATTTGTAATAAATTAAAAAACATTATAAAAACATAGAAAATTTAAATAAACAAAGTAACAAAAAATAATTTACTGATAAAACTAAATAATAAAAACTAAATGGAAAAGTACAAAAAAATTCTAAACTTACCTATCACAATTTGTAATGCGTCTACTTTTTCCACATTACTCTTACTTTGGTTGTTAAAGTTGCAGTTTTGTGGGACGGACGATGATGACGACGATGTCGATGTCTGCCCGCGGCCACAATAGCCCTTGTTGACCGCCATCACCAACTTATGCACCCAATCACCGTGCTCACCCGTCGCCACTTCCATTACTGTAAAATAAAAATTAAATTAGTCGTAGCATATTTCATTATTCATATTGTGAGTGGTAGAGTCGGCAAGTGATGCCCTAGAGCAGGGGTTGGCAACCTGCAGCTCGCGAGCCACCACTCTTTGGTTGTGAAGCTGCGGCTCTTTAGTTTCATACGCAAACTTTATTTATTTTATAAAAAAAAAACATTTAAAACCGATCCACACTGAGCCATTTGGAGTTGATACTGGAACTCTAGAAATGCAGTTGATCGATTTAAAAAGTACACCTTGTGGAAATGAAAGTTGAAAGAGTTGGAGGTCCAGCAATGTATGTACGTAACGCAACAAAATTGAACAGCTTTAAAAGAAATGCCGCGAGTTGAGGCACTTATATTTGACACATGGAATAGTCTTCCATATTGCTACAGGGAGGTGAAGAAGTTAGCATTTGGAATGCTGACTATCTTCGGATCGACATATTCGTGCGAGCAAGCGTTCTCTTGCGTGAATATAATTAAAAGTAAAGTAAGAAGCCAACTAACAAATGAAAATTTAGAGTCATCTTTGAAACTTAAAACAACAAGTTATGAGCCAAATTTATCCAAACTTTCTAAAACCATGCAAAGCCAACGCTCCCAACTCCCATTGAATTTGTTTGCTTAAATGTATGTTATTGTTTTATTATTTTTAAGTAAAAGTTACATTGCTTAGTAAAGTTTAAATCTAGTTTTTTTATCAAAAAACTTCATTTATGCAAATACTATTTATGGTTGGCAAGAAAAAAAATTGTGGTTCTTTAAAAACTTTGAAATTTTGTAAATTGTAATTTTTGACTGGTCCGAATCAAAAGGTTGACGACCCCTTCCCTAGAGGAAATTTTATTTACCGAATTGGCGATAAATTGAAGATGGGCTAAATTAAGAGTACCCTTAACCGACGAGAATTTTTGTGAGAGAGGTGTGTGGGGTCGTATCAAATGAAGCTCACAGTCTCTGCCTAGCTATGAAATAAAAACTAAAATGATTTTTTTAATTGTTAATAGATGTAGCAACATACTCTCCGCGCCGAAACATTGAGTGATTGCATTTTCTCAAAATAATTTATGTATCAAACACGCATATTTTCGTTTGTTTCCTTTATCGCTGAGCACATAGTAAATCAGCACATAAAATTACTAATTCATATTTTCATTGGGGCCGGCGGTGAGGCACCCGAGTCGCTCACGCTTCGTGAAATTTACGAGCGCAAAACTCCTAAGTTACCAAGGCTCTCTTGGTGTAGCTTAAAAATTAAGATTTTGCTTATACTCTGTCGTTTTTTAAGTGGTATTGCCACGCAGCAGCTATATTATTGTTGTACTTTATAGCTCGACCGGGGAAGGACCACACTCTCACAGAATACCAGCGTAAAATAGCAGCTTAATGATGCTGTGTTTCGTATAGTGAGTGTAGAGACCTGAAAAATATGTTTACTAGAAACGAGGAATTGAACCTTAGTCCTCAGGGGTGATAATGCATCTACATCTATGGCCACAGAATCTACTTACCATCAAGTGAACTGTGTGCTCGTTCGTCACCCTCTTTTTATAAATAAAAATACTAAAACAGAAATAACGGTAGGAAAATACGTGATTATTTTTTATATATTGAATAAAAAGGACCCTAGCTTTTTATGAGGGAGGTCTTTTGTTCTGGCACTCTTGTTTTTTTGTTCTTCGTGACATCACGGATAAAATCTTTATACCTGCTGTGTGTTATAAAAATACTTAATCCTATAAATATAGTAAAGTACTTACCATAATCAGCAGGATTGTGATAACTCGGACAATGTAGACTCATTGACGATAAAAAGGGTACCAAGCCACAAACTCTTCCCTGGTATATACATTGCCCTTCTGATAAAGTGTACAAAAAGTCGAACATTTCAAACAATCGCGCGGACGGTTGATGTATTGTGCATATAATGGTTCTGCCACCTCTCGCTAATGACTTCAATAATGATATGCATTGGAAACACGACGAACTATCCAACCCTGAAGTCGGTTCATCGAAGAACATCACAGGTGGATTGTTAACCAGCTCTAAAGCTATCGACAGACGTTTCTTTTGGCCCCCTGATAGGTTTATCGTGCGAGTATCAGCTGCATCGACAAGGCTCAACATTTCTAGAATTTCATCGATCACAATTTTCTTTGCGGTAACCGTCATGTCTTTCCCTAGCTTTAGATTTGCTGAGACATACATCGCTTCCCGTATGGTAAGATGAGGTAGAAGGCAGTCATCCTGCATTATATAGCAGGAGAGCTTCCGAAACCGTCGGAGATTTCTTTCTTTACCATTTATGAGTATTGATCCAGTTACGTTGGACGTTCTGAAACAGATATTATAAAATGTTATTTAGGTGTATTTATCAGGGGCCCGGGGAGATATACCGTCTAGCCGTAAAGCAATAACAACTTTTAAATTCCAAACTCGAAAACTCTTTCAGCTCTCAATAAATCTAGTTCGTTTGATTACAAACAGCGTGGCTGGCATTGTGCCAGATGTTTAACATTCCTAAATTGTTAACTATAGTAAACATCGAACGCGTTTGGAACACTTTACATTGTGTAGTTAAAATATGTAATGACGGATTTAAAAAATATTGTTTCGTGATACTAGATATCCTCTCATCACCTTCGTATAATATATTTTCTAAGACATAAGACTCTTTTCCTACCCAGGAGTCTGTCTTTTTTTATAGAATAAGGGTGACAAACGAGCAAACAGTCTACCTGGTGGTAAGTGATTGCTGTGACCCATAGATATCTACATCTATCCTCAATAAAGAATCAAAATGCAGATGCGTTGTCACTCGTGAGAACTAAGATGGAATGCGTCTTTTCCAGTAAAAAAGAGTCTCCGGTTCTCTATACTCACCATACAAAACACAGCAGCGCTAAGCTGCTTTTTTACGCTGGTATTCTGTGAGAGCGTGGTTCTTCCCCGGTCGAGTCGACCCCTTTGTGCTACAACTATACTATTAATATAGCTGCAGCATGGCTCTACAACGTAAAAAACTGTCTGGGTGTGTACCACGCTCTTTCGTATTTCATGGAGGCAGTCCATCTTAGTTCTGAGAGGTAACTACGCATCAGTGGCCTTCTTTGTTTGAAGATAGCTGCAGGTGTCCATGTACCGCAGTAGCTACTTACCACAGGGTGAACTCTGAGTTCGTTTGTAATTTAAATTTGTGATATACGGTGAAGTATCGATGAAGTTGACCTCCGCTAGATGGAGTGACGACCTGGTAAAATATGCAGCAAGTCGATGCATGTAGGTGACTCAGGAGTGTGCTTTGTAACATTCCTCGGGCTCTCCCCTAGGCCTCTGCCTATGTTCAGCAGTGGAATTGTGTTGATGATGATGATGATGATGATAAAAGTGTATTTATATTTTTATAAAGACTCCAGGAAATAATTCATATACGTTTAACATTAATCAGAAAGTTACTCGCAACTCGCAAGTCACAAAAATAGCGACCTTGCATTTAAAATTCATAACGCGTACACCACATTGACAGTTAGGAAGGCGGAAGGAAAGATTTGTTAGGACGCGAACCGCTCAAAATATCATCATTCATCATCATCATTGCAGCCTTTCATAAGTCCACTGCTGAACATTGGCCTCCCCCAAGGAATCACCACCTGTATCCATCGACTTCCTGCATGTCTTACCACGTCGTCACTACATCTCGTGGGGGGTCACCCTACACTTCGACTACCGGTACGAGGCTGCCACTCGAGAACCTTTTCTCCCATCGGTTGTCGGTTCTTCGAACTATATGGCCGGCCCACTGCCACTTAAGCTTACTAATCCGTTGGGCTATGTCGGTTACTCTGGTTCTACTGCGGATATCCTCATTTCTAAGTTTATCACGCAGAGAAACCCCGAGCATAGCCCTCTCCATAGCTCGCTGAGCGACCTTGAGCTTCCTCATACGCCCAGCAGTGAAGGACCACGTCTCAGTTCCGTAAGTCATCACTGGCAACACGCACTAGTTGTACAATTTCCTTTTAAGGTTTTGAGGTATGTCTTACGAGAAGATGTGTCGTAGTTTCCCGAACGCTGCCCAACCAAGTTGAATCCGTCGATTGACCTCTCGGTCGAAGTTGGACTTAACTAGTTGGACTATTTGTCCCAGGTAAACATACACATCAACAACTTCGAGCTTAGTGCTCCCAACAACTACCGGCATAGGTGTGACATGGACATTAAACATGATCTTTGTTTTGTCCATGTTCATCTTAAGACCTATCCGTTGGGAGACACTGTTGAGGTCATTGAGCATGGTGCTTAGGTCCTCCAGCGATTCTGCCATAAGGACTATATCGTCGGCAAATCGAAGGTGAGAGATGTACTCGCCATTGATGTTAATACCATATCCTTTCCAGTCCAGAAGCGTCTTCCAATGCAGCGGTGAAGAGTTTCGGGGATAAACGTTACCCTGTCTTACACCTCTCTGCAATTGGATAGGTTTCGTATTCTGGTTCTGTACTCAGATAGCCATCGTAGCCCTACTGTACAAGCACTTCAGTACTTCGATATACCGACAGTCAACTTGGCACCGCTGAAGGGGCTGCAGCAACGCCCAAATTTCGACGGAATCAAAGGCTTTCTCATAGTCCGCATACGCCAGACATAGTGGCAAATTGTACTCCTCGGACTTCTGTACAACTTGCCGAAGGGTATGTATGTGGTCTATGGTGCTAAAGTCCTTTCGGAAACCGGCTTGTTCTGGAGGCTGGAAGTCGTCAAATCTGCGAGCGAAACGATTCGTAATGACTAGAAAAAAAGAAAAAAAAGACTACCATCTCAAAATATAAAGAAAGTTAATATAAGTCAGAAGTTAACTCATAACGGATAATATTTGGTTAAAAATACAAACCGCGTGTTCATTCCAGAAAATGGATAATTAATATTTTATATATTTAATGGATATCTGCAAAGTAATGCCCAATTCTATTAAGTCATATTGTTTTAGATGTCAAAGCATTTTTCTACCGACTTCAAAAAGGAGACGGTACTCGATTCGACTGTGTGTTTTTTTATGTGTGTTACCTCATAGCTTTTTACTGGGTGAACCGATTTCGATATTTCTTTATCCTCAATAAAGAATCAAAATGCAGATGCATTATCACCCCTGAGGAAGAAGATGGAATGCGTTGTTACTTGTAAAAAGCGTCTCCGGTTCTCTACACTTACTAATTAATGTGTTTCAAATGTAAAGTTGTTGCACACTATTTGGAATTACTAGGTTAGTTAATTTAGTTAAGTTACTTTAAAAGTTCAAGTATATGTTTCTTTTCGTATTTCTGCCACCAAATAGCAGTGCAAGCACCACCATTACACAAAAAATATAATTGTGCAATGAAGAATTTTATATTTTTCCACCTGATGGTAAGTAAGTATGAGAAAAGAACTTCAAACAAAGATGGCCCTAGATAGTCACTTCTGAGGACTAAGGTAAGAAGCCTCAGACCATTAGTACTATTTCACAGACTGGAACTGGTGGGAGAAATATAATTAGACACAGATTTATACCAAAAAATGACACTTATTTATTTATTTATTTATTTATTTATTTATTCTTTATTGCATTCCTTAATCTAAAAGAATACAACGGGCGGACTTAATGCCTTGTGGCATTCTCTACCAGTCAACCCATGGAGTGGTGAGAATTTGAAGTAGGTGTAGCAATATAGAATAAAAATAAAATAGAAATTTATAATTAATTACGTTATATATACATTTTACTAATATATACAATAAATAAACTATAAAAATATATTCTTTTTACACATGTATACAAATATATACGTACATACATAAGCATACATATATTCATACCAACATAGTACATATAAATAACTATAAATATATACGTCTAAAATATAAATGACATGGATGATTCATCTAAGAAGTGTTGATATTTAGCATGACGCTTAATATATTTTGGCAAAAAATTAATAATCAATATTTCTGAGCAATAATTTTTAGTAGATATTCTTTTATTTTTTAGTTTATGTATATCTACTAATAAAGAGCAATGGCAGAAAAATAGTTGAGAAAAATTATAGCGTCTAAAAATAAGTTATATATAAAATGAGTTTTATTATTTTTCTATGATTTTTCAAATAAAAATGTATTTTAACTAAAGCCACAGAAAAAAACAAACATTTTTGGGAATATCAAATGACTTAAATCATTTTACTTCAAATGTTGCATTTAGTATATTCATACCTACTATTTTCGTATACACTTTGTAACACTACCAACACAACACACAAAATATTTTTATATTAAGTTATTATTAGTAATAACTGTACTATTATTAATAATAACAATAAAAGTGATATGGCTGAGAATAAGTCTCTTACAAAGAATTTCCTACAATAATACATCATCTCAATCATAGTACTATGTAACAATTCCATTTAATGTTATGCCAACACTATCTAAAATTAAATGTCACTGTTTTTTTTACTGGCTTTACGGCCCTGGGTTCTAGCCCTTCTGAGAATGTCACTATGATACAAAAGCCCTGGAGCCATGCCAGAATTATACATTCATAGTATGCAAATATATAATAGAGATACAATAATCTAAAAACTCTCAATTATGTATTATTTATTAAGCTAACATCAAACAACCACAGGAAGCATGACTCTTTCCAAGTGACATAGGACATAACCTACAAATGTTCAAATGTAAATATCTTTTTTTGACGCCTTCTCAGTACAAAATTCTTTGACAAGTTATTAAGGGAGTGACGCTTAACATTTTAAGTTATTTTTGGTATATAGACGCTACCATTTCTTCTCAACTAATTTTATAATGTCTGCCATTGCTCTTTATCTTTTGTCAGAAATGTTGAGAGCAGGCATACAGTGTTTACCCATAATTAAGTGGTCACTTAATAATTTATGCTTATAAAAACTTTAAAAGTTTTTAGAAATTAGTATAACTTTTAGTGCAACTTTTTTTGAGAACCAAATAAGTAAATAAATCATTACTTTTCATATGAAGAAGAAGCAAAATATTCAATCTAAATTAATAGTCAATATTTAACGCAGTTTGCTAGAGATCGAGAACAAAATAATTCTCAATTTCTTCTTTAGATTGTTATCCTTTTGTGTTAAGTAATAGATGCCAAATACCATGATTCTACTATCAGATGCACCACTAGTAGGGTCGTTTTCTATATATAGAATATAACTATGAATTTTTAAAAATTTAATCTTTTACAACAGTGCAAATAATGATAATGTCCACATAGAGAAAAATTTACGATTTTCCGAACGATTTCAGAGCTTAATGCTATATTAATATGTAATATATAGTTTTTTAATTAAAAGAAAATCATTACAATCGGTCCATTGTTGGTTGGTTGAAGAAAATATCGCGTAACATACATACAAAAACAACATACAGTGGAATTGAGAACCTCCTCCTTTTTTGAAGTGAGTTAATAATAAAACTTAAATAAATTTATCCTTAACAAACACCAAGGCATAGAACCTATTTTTATAAACGCGTACAAAACTTTCGTTTGTGACTTATTTCGTGTTAAAGGACAATAACTTTATTACGAGCTTTTTGAGCACATGAAATATTTAATTGAAAGTTTTAATAGCGTGACTACAACATAGCTCAAACATAGCTCCAACTTTATCATGAAAATAATTAATGAAAGATAAGCTCATTTCTTCTTAAGTAATCTTATCGCCCCTGTTTAGTTAATTAAGGAACTTGTCTTTAGGAATTGGATTTAATAATATGGATTACTTAGTTATATATTTATATATATAATTGAAGTGTCTGTCTATACTATCGAAATTAGTTCCTTATATTGAGAGAGTTATTTGCATGACATTAAGACATTAATAAATATTTTTAAATGTTTAATCAGTATGTCTGTGTCTACGTCGTACGCATTGTAATGACACTTTACGAACAGATAGAGATCATTTGGACGTGGTTATGCAAAAAGGATTCAACCCTAAAGAAGAAAGCTAATTTGAGGTTATGAAATTTGAAGAATGGATCTGTATGTTTTGTGTGTGTGTTTGTAATTTTTCTTCTTATTTGTACTACTTGTTGCATCACATAATAGTATAGACCACAAACATTATTTTTCAACTGAACATTTTAGACACAAATTACATTGGATCCTTTTTGCGTAACTATGTCCATTTTCTGGAGTCATGTAGGCTATATTTATGAAAAATTAATTTAGCCACATTTATAGATCGTATCCAGACGAACCCAGGGCGAGTCGCTAGTCTGAAATAAATTATGAATATTAAAAACATGTAATTTATAATAACTTACTTGTATCCCGCTAAAATATTCATAAGAGTGCTTTTCCCAGCTCCTGAAGGTCCCATAATGGCGGTCAGCTCACCGGAGCGAAAAGTCCCATTGATGCACTTGAGCAACGCTTTGTACCCTCGCTTTCTGCCTTCGCTAACGGAGTAGGAGAGATCAGAGAACTCTATATCGACTGGCGGTCGTTTGGGAAGATGTGTTAGGGACGCCATCGGTTTCTTTTGGTCGCCGCAGTCATTGTGGATCTTGGGGACGAGACCGGTCATCGCGGCTGTGCCCACACCGCCATTGCATAGGTTCATCTGTGAGCCCCTGTAAAGCAAAACATACGGTTGATATTTTTGTATTATAAATCGGTAAGCTGAAGTTGTACAAGAATACTGCTGATAGGACAAATGATTAGCAACTTTTAAGCAGAAAAATGCACCTCCTTTCATCGAATAGTATAGGAATGTGACACGACTAATGAAACTGGAATTTTGATATAGGTAAATTCATGTTTTTATCTTGAATTTGCTTTTTCAAAAACACGATTGTAAAATTTTGACTCGATTACAATTATATGTGAAAACACTTGTTAAAAATCACTATAGTTGAAATTACCACGAAATTACTTAACCTTTATGCTTGGGAACCACTCAAATACATTCATAACATCATACTACATACTTACTAAAATCAATTTTTTTTTTAAATATTTTAAGATTCTAAGCGATTTCTAAGCAGTCTGAATCGTCGCGGGCGCTACGCAATTTTAGAACTTACGACGGCGTTTTTGAAGTTTTTATAGAAATTATGTTTCACTCGGATCAGTCCCGCGACAGCCCGCTTCATTGGTTTTCGATGTGTCGCCTTAAGGGACAGTCACGTACCATTACATAGAAGATATATACGTTGAAGGTAGGGGGGTAGGTAGAAGATTTTCTACCTAGGAATCCGTCTGTGTACACGTCTTAACTATTTCTGCCACCAAGCAGCACTGCTGTTTTCTCATCTAAAAGATATTTAACAAAAAAAAAATAGTATAATTACAGGCTGAAAAGCATTCTTGGTCCTCAGTGGTGGCAAGGATTCTGCCTTTCAGATTCTTACTCGAGGATAAATGTAGATGTCTATGGGCCAAAGCATCCGCTTACCATCAGATGGACTGCGTGCTCGTTTGTCACCCATATTCTTAAAAAAAATGTACTGGCTCAGCGCAGTGGACTAATTTCTCAAAAGGCCTCTAAAAACCACGTGTTTCTTGGACAGTTTTCAACACGTATGAAAATAAATAATCTCAAAAAATATAAAGAAAGAAAAATGAAAATGTTACACAAACAATATGGAAGACGATCCCGAATATAAATTTGAAAATTTCTTTTTTCTTTTGTTTCTTCGTATCTTTCGTTCATTCGTTTCGTATTTCACTACTCGTATGTAAATGACATTATTAACGTTTATTCAATAACTCTACTTTGTTCTAAGTTCTGCGAAGCTTTTTCGTTGGTTCTTCCAATCATTAATAATACTCTGAAAATTTTGCCAATTTGGCCCTTATTATATAAAAGGGGTTCGTAGCGCAACCCTTTTACGGGTAATTATTTTCAACGTTAAGGCAATTAAATATCATAAATTCTGCGCAATTAAATTTACGTCAATCTTAGACAACTCTTAAACTGAACCTTAGCGTAGATAATAAATTTATAATAACATAAAAGTTTACGTCCGTTCCTATATTCAAAAACGATTCGTTTTTCATGATGATACATTATGTAATATTAATATAAAAATCTATTAAGAAAACATATTTTATGCGATTAAAGATGACAATAAATACACGGTCCACCTAATGGTAAATGAATGCTGTGATCCATGGTCTGATATTTATATACATCAGATAACTACAAGATTATCATACTATCTAAAGCTAAAAGATCTTTCTAACATTTCCATATTCACCTCTTACGACACCAATGGGATGAAATGGAGTGTTGTATTTTTTTCGCAGCCATCACTCGGCTATTCGACGATACATGGAATATAGGTGATACGAATGCTTTTAAGGTAGAGTTACCATATGTCAGGATTTATCCTGACATTACAGGACTCTTGCGCTCTTATCAGTATTGCGGTCAGATTTTGGAAATTTCAGGCTTTTTCGATTTTTGTGGGTTTTTCTATGGGAAAGGTGGAGTCAGGGATTGAGAGTGCACTAAACCAATAATTAATTTTTTTTTACGCTTGTTAATAACTTTTGCGACAAATTGTCATGATTTCTCTATGAAAATCAGATTATTTGTCACGACTTTTCAATTTTCCATCGGGTAACCCTAATCTAGGACCATATAGTTGCGATGTCGGAGCGGTAACGGACGTGTGATACCCATTTGACATCGGAACTAAACGTCATACCGTGTATTATACCTATTTTTTATATAGTTCTTTTTATAGAATAAAGGTGAAAATGAGCAGACAGTCCACCTGAGTAGCAAGTGGATCTATCATAATAAGAATTTAAATGCAAATGCGTTGTCACCCCTGAGGACTGTGATGGAATGAGTCACTTCCAGTTAAAATATCTCTTTTCTTGAATGTCTAATATCGTTAATATCGGTCCGGAAAAATCACTGGTTAAAGCAAATTCTAATTTGAGAAATCTAAAATACTTTTTTTGTTGTTAATATCAATGAAGTAGCCATCGATTTTTGTAAAGTAAGCAAAGTATAAAATGTCAAAATTGAATCAAGATAATATTTGTAAATACTCGTGCATCATCACACTTGCAGTATCTCTAGTATCCGATATTTCTCATACAAATGAACGTAACCAACGTAGTGATGAGTTTTTATTTAAAAGAGGAAAGTTTGTACAGTGTGACGATGCCATATTTTCCGGGTTTTGTTAAATTATTCTACAATATGATTTCCCCCGACTGTTGATTTGCAATCCACAAGCGTCTAGTTTCAAAGTAATTCTCAGTGTGCTAGATGAATTTTAATTTTTAAAATGGCAACACATTTCTAGTTTATAAAGTTATACCTTATTCATTAATTCATTACAGCCTATCAAAAGTCTACTGCTAAACATAGATTCCTCCCATATATTGCCTCTATAAGCCAATATATGGGATGGATATTTGCCGTGGTTATCACACGCAATGATTTATTATTTTGTATTGTAATCAGCAATGGTTATGTTGCTACTCATATCTTGTTTCATTTCCCTCTGTCACTTGTTAAGACACCCACGCTCATAGTATCTTATCAGTGTCATCATCAGTACAACCCTTCACAAGTCCACTGCTGGACTTAGGTACCTTGAAAACACCCAGACTAATCAGACGGAAAGGCAAACGCCGGCAGATTATACCACTCCTTTGCTGTACGCATTACGAAAGACAAAGCAAAGCATTTGTTTCGAATGAGTGGAATATCGACAAAAAGGGGTGAAAACCCTCCGACTGCCTGGTTGTCCAACAGTGGAAAGGGTAGGGAGGAATTAAAGCATGTAATTCCTGCACACACTCTCCGGAATGCTTCCTATAGAATACCAAGAGGCTGGCTACCATGCGTCTGTGCTCGAAACTGACAAGATTGGTTTCATCCAAATCAAGGTTACACGTGTAACCAAATAATATCACAAAGCAAGATCCTGAAATACCTCCATCCATCGACTCCCTACATAGCACTTTTTGCTAAAATTTTATTCTACACCTTTTCACAAAAAGGTCCATAAAAACCCACATAAAAAGAGCATATAGCTGACGCGAAGCACCTACACTCCGGGAAGTCAGCAGTCTGTGAACGTGTTTAAGATAGTTCCCGCCATTACATAAAATTTGATAAACCACAAATTCCCTTAAAAGAACACCTATTTTACTAAGGATGATTCACAAGGCTATTAAATTAAAAAACACCCAAATTTCAATAGAAAAAATGGATGGGTACTACCATCTGTTTTTACAATTAATTAATAAAATTAGATCTAAACGAAAACATACCACAGCAAGATAATAAGACAGTACGTAAGCTCGTTCTGCGTAGATCGGATAAAAAATTAATATTCAAAAGGTGAAAATAGCGGGGCCAATTTACATTGAGACGTCTAACACCTCAGTCACCCCCGTGACCATGGGTAGGTACTGTAAGGCGCCCAAAACGTCGGGCATTTTAAATAAGTAAAATAAGTTAAACGATATAAAATCCGTAAAATCAATTTTATTTAACGTTTAATATACGTGTAATTATAAGAAATCATTATATATTTATGTTAATTTTATTTGTATTAAAATTAGCACTTCATTTTGTTTTTTAGCTGATGTTTCTTTGTGTTATTATATCTCCATATTCATCAGCGCGTAAGTAGTGAACCGCTGGATTTGACTTCTTTTTAAATCGTCTAGTATCATCCTACTTGGAGAGCGGTGATTATGATAAAACACTCCTGACAGGTAACGGCAAACGCCTATTAAAAATTGAAAAAATTCTTGCCCCATAAAAGTTGTAAAATTCAATGAAATGATTTTTTTTCCTTAAGGAAATATTCTATACAAGAAAATTTTGCTGCTGCCCATGTTGTTAAATATATAAATTTACTTTTAAAACCTGTCTACATCCGCGGGACGAAGTAAGATTCACGTACGACCTTTGTTTGACTTAGGTCAGAGTGACACCACTGACAATAATTTAAAATTAAAAATTTTGTACAGCCGACTTCAATATAAGCGATTTCAATATAAGTTATTTAAGAATAACTCAATAACCATTGGTATGACCTTGATTAAATTCATATGGGACCACACGAGAACTATCAGCTTTCATATAAAAAAAGAATCATCGAAATCGGTTCCCCCAGTACAAAGTTATGAGGAAACACACATAAAAAAAAACATACACTCGAATTGAGTACCGTCTCCTTTTTGGAAGTCGGCAGAAAAGGCAAGATTCTAATACTGCCGTCATCAAACAGCCTCTTAAAGCGTTTCCCTGACCAAATAACCTTGAGCATTCGTTCCCTCTTTAGACGTACGCCGCTTTATCATAGAATTCACACACTTTTTGGAATTATTTTAATTAAAAAAGAAAAACGAACTTTAAAAATTAAATAAAACGTGAAGAATATAGATTTTTAAATTATCTATCCATTAGTGTAATCCTCAAATGATTAGAGCGCCTTGTCTGCCTTTAGCAAAGGATGCATGTAATCAATAATTTTACTCATTTTTTAAAAGTAAATTTTAAATGTATTTATAACACATAAAAACTAATTACAACGTGGAATGTGATGATAGGATACCGAACATTAATAATATGTTTTTACATGTAGTTTAT